GTAGAAATAAAGTGACATAGATAAGAATTCAGGCAGAATTTTCAGATAATGGCATCCTATTTGACTTTTAATATAAATGTAAAAGTTTCAGGCCGGGTGTGGTGGCTCATGCCTGTAATCCCAGCACTTTGGGAGGCCGAGGCGGGCAGATCACGAGGTCAGGGATTTGAGACCAGCCTGGCCAACATGGTGAAACCCCATCTCTACTAAAGATACAAAAAATTAACCGGTGTGGTGGCAGGCACCTGTAATCCCAGTTACTCCAGAGGCTGAGGCAGGAGAATCCCCTGAACCCGAGAGGTGGAATTTGCAGTTAGCTGAGGTCTCACCACTGTACTCCAGCCTGGGCAACAGGGCGAGACTCTGTCTCAAATATTTAAAAATTAAAAAAAAAAAAAAGTTCCTCTAGCTCTCCTGCCATGCAGGCCTCCATCAGTGCAACAGAGATTCACTGAGAAAAACAGCACAGACCTGAAGGATACTTCCAACCAGATTCCACCAGCTCTGTGCTTAGTAAGAAAAGAAACGGGAGACACTCCTTAAGTGTGAAAGTTGGTGATGTGTGTAAATAGTCTTGGGAAGACTCAGAATGATAGATGGTTCTGGACTAGCTCAGTTCAGCAATTCCAACTCCAATCCCCTAGGATTGTTTCAACATCTGATGCTGCTCTCAATTCTCTCCACCCAACTCCACCCTCCCAACCTTCCGAGGCTCTTCAGAGGAAGCTATGTCTCTGTTCAGGGGGTGGGTATTTAAACTGTGAGACTTCCCTGGGAGCCCAAAATGGGGCAAAAAAACAGCACCTGCCTCTCAAAGTTCATTTTTCTCTGAAATTTTTGCCCAGCCCTTTTGTAATAACGCTCTAAGCACTATGGTCTCTTGCAGCTGCTTCAGGCCAGCTTCAATCCCTTTAAGTGAGGAAGCAGAGCCTTCCCGCACATTTGAGCTTCTCCAAAATCTGTCATCTAATGAGACTTAAAGTTCATCTCCTCGTCTTATTTATTGCGTGCAGGGTCCCAAAAATCTCTAACAAGACAGACAGACTTGAGAAAGAACTGGACAGGAAAATCGGCTATAACTACAGACAGACACACACGTACGCCCACACCACCTGCATACTCCTCCTTAAACTTTTAAGTCAGAAAGAAGGTCTGATTTCTTGGAACCACATCTGGTACAGAATCATGGAAATGCTGGAAACTAACAGTTTTCCGAAACTATAATGAAGACTTCAAAAAGGTTGGAGAGTTTAGAATAGAGCTTACAAACTCAAGTTACACTTCTCAACCTTTGTTTAGGAAGCTACAGTGGCATACTAGGTACAACTGAAATGGATAGTGTCTCCCAAGAAACCTCAATCCCTAAAGGTGTCCGGCTTCAACTTCAATACCACCAGTAGCCGAGCGAGGTGGCTCACACCTGTAATCCCAGCACTTTGAAGGCTGAGGCGGGTGGATCACCTGAGGTCAGCAATTTGAGACCAGCCTGGTCAACATGGTGAAACCCCATCTCTACTAAAAATACAAAAATTAGCTCGGTGTGGTGGTGAGCGCCTGTAATCCCAGCTACCAGGGAGGCTGAGGCAGGAGAATTGATTGAACCAGTGGAGGTGGGGGGGGCCTGCAGTGAGCCGAGATCATGCCATTGTACTCTAGCCTGAGTGACAAGAGCAAAACTCTGTCTCAAAAAAAAAAAAAGAAAACCACTGATAGAAAGCAGTTTAAACAGTGTTCATGGTTTGATTATGCAAAGCCTGTGTTGGGGTCATTTCACAGATGTCTTACTTTCCCCTACCTAGCTTGTGGGTGATTTGAAGACAAAGGCTTTTCTGTAACCAGCCATGTTACTCACTACCTGGGCAAGTATTTGGCACCACAAATGTACCTCACCTGTTTCACACCCTCTGGCATTTTCCATGATGCCAGGCAGTTTTCCAATTAATACTGATATCATACTTTACAGTCTACAAAATGTTTTTATGATCATATTCCCATTAGGTCCTTAAAACCTCATTGTGAGAGAGAGACATGCGTAATCACTATTTTCCAGCTGGAGAAGCAGAGGTTGACTCACCTAATTAAATGACAGAGCAGGGAGTTGAACTCACAGCCCAACCGTCCCTATTTGATGTGGAACGCACCTCACTGCCTCCCACAAAAACCTGCTTCCCAGCTCAAACTCTTCCTAGGCTAGGCAGCCTCTGGAGGAAAGCAACAGAATGTATTTATGTCCTTGGAAAATGTAAATAAAATCTTTAGTGTCCAAAATTAAGGCACACCATGTGATGTGAACATAGAGTAACATTTAAATGTGTTCCTGCGCTACAGACCTTGACCCTTATCCTGCCCAGCAAGGTGGTGGAGCTGGGAGTCCCTTCTCCCTCCGGGCCTCAGTTTCCCTTCCGTGGACTTCCAGAGTCTAAATTCGATGGGGCAGAGCTCTTCCACATCCCTCTACCCCCATCCCTACCCCAC